TGAGAAAGTAAAAGAAAGAGAGAGAGAGAGAGAGAGAATTTTCAAGCACGACGAGTCCTCTTCAACAGCAGCTCTATTCAACTCTTCCTCCTACTCCTACGATGGTGTTTTTCAATTTCTGTCACGGCTCTCTGTGTTCATGTTCGCGAGTAGATACCCTTTTTTTTTTACCTGAATCCCCCCGCCCCTTCCACCCCATCCAACCCCATATTCCACGAAAATTGGCTCGATCACTCGGACCTCGGCCATAACCTCACTTTTTTTCTTCTTCTTCTTCTTCTTTTTTTCTTTACTTCTTTTTTATTTACTTGAATTTAACGTAACAGCCGAACTTTTTTGTTTCTCGTTCTTTCCTCCTCCCCCCCTACCCTACCTCTTTTCTATGCCACTTTTTTGATTTTTTTTTTTTTAAATGGCTCATTTTTGAAAGAAATTTTGACTAAAATTTTTTAATTCCTTTTCAAATATTGACACGAAATGTTGTATTAGGTGGTAATATGTGTTTTGCTAGTACTATATTCGAATAAATGTGTTTGCTTTTGTTAATATTCATGATATTATTTATAAAATTTGTAAATAACGTTAACAAAAAAAAAAAAAGAATAAAAGTGTGTGTTAATAAATGGCCAAGTTATTTTTATTTTCCATTAGATTTGTGATTTGATGAATTTATTATTAAGAGAGAAAGAAGTGAATTAATTAGTCAAGGGATATATTGAGGTAAATAATAAAATTCTTAAATCTTTATAAATACTGTATATATATACATATATATATATGTATGTATGTGTATTTGTTGACTTCGTTATTTTTATACTTTCCTAAAAATTCGAATATTTTCGAATAAAAGCCAATTGTTCTTTTATAATGTTCGAAAAAAAAAATAGTACGTCGCGTTGCAATGCCAATTTACTTGCATATTCTGTCATCTATTTTCAGTTTTGTAATATAAATATTTATTTATATCTCGCTTTATTTCATACATATGGGAATTATTTTTACGACCAGTGGTCAATTTATTCGCATATTATCGAAATAAAATAGAACGTCAAGCATTGTTGTTCGTGTCAATTTACTTTTATATTTCAACCTTATTTTGTGTGTGTGTGTGTGTGTGTTTCTTTTTAATATAAATTTTAATTACACAAACACACACACACACACACACACTAAATTTATATTCCATTATCTGACTTTCACATTGAACACCTTTAATGTTTATCTCATTATCGATCATTTTCTTTTATCATAGAAAAAATTAACTCTAGGAAATAATAAGAATTGACAATGATTAACAAAAATATATCAATTGAATTCATTTTCTTACAAAAAAAAAAAAAGAAATATTTATTTTATATTATTAATTACATTTATTTATTAAAAATATAAAAATATATTATTCCAAATAATAATGTTAATAAGTGAAATATCATTTGTCAATGATAAAAATAAAAATAAGAACATTGTCCTTTTCCTATTTTCGTTCGTTATGAGAGTTCAATTATACTATCAAGTAATTAGAGTAATCGTCGGTAAGTCGTCAAACATAGGTCAAACAATTTAGAAGGGTTCATTCAAAGATTGGATCAAGTTTGTTAGAAACGACAAAGACGAAATCGAAGTTAATTGGCAATTTTCTCTGGCACCAGGCCTCTCTCTCTCTCTCTCTCTCTCTCTGTATCTCTCTTACATTTACACACACATACACACACACACACACACAACTCCTTATCCAAGCTTTTCACCTCTCTTGTGGAATTTATCCTTCGAACGTCAACAATTCTCCCACCCACCCTTTTCAATCTCCCACTCTTGTTTCCTCTGACAAGAAGAGAATGGTAAAGGAAGAACGTCGTTTGTTTAGAATGACGTTTAACTCGGTTTAATAGACCATTTATCGAAGATAATACTTGAACCTAGCTACTGTTCGATTAATATAATAAATGACTATTTTTTTTTCTTTTTTTTTAAAAAGATAAATTAAAAAACATTTCGAATAAAAGGAAAGTGGTGTTGTTTTTAAATCAAATTGTGCTTAATCGGATTCCATTAGAACAATTTCATCCACTGCATTATCAAAATTATACAAATACATATCTACACAAACAAACGAACAAAAGTGAAACAATAAACGTAAAATAGACGAGTATCTATACGCGAGTATTTTTTTTTTCTTTTTTTTCTTTTTTTTTTTGAACGAACAAACTTAATCCAATAGTCCAGACGGGATCGATAAACAACAAAACCGACGAATTCGTTACATTGAAATATTCATATGCCTGACCAGTGAAAATCCAGAAAATGCTCGATTGGAATTGACACCGGACGATTGAAATTGTTATTTTTACCAAGCCGCCCCGGTAAATGCCTGAAAAACCAACCACAACCCCATCCCCTTTAACACACCACCATCACCCTTAGCTAGCAACGATACTTTTGTGATTTTTTGTGTGTGCTTCATAACGACAAAAAATAAAGAAAAAGAAATAGGGAGCAAAAGGATTGAGGAATAAAAGAAAGGTACAGGTCTTCCCACCCTTTAGGGATTTACGATTGGTTGAAAACTAATTTTATCATCAACAACGACAAAAATCTCGTTTAATTCTCTGATTAGAATGTCACAGATTGAATATAGACGAATTTTTGGGAATGGTTCGAGTATTTTTGTTTCCTTTTTTTTTCAGAAATAAACGAAAGGAATATTCGTGTCGTTGTTATAGGAAGGAGGGAAAAGGGAAGGGGAATGGGAAGGGGGAAATGGGATGAAAGGGTGTAGCACTAGTTGCTTATCAAAAATTCTATTCCGTTGAAAACGGAGTGATCCTCTCGACGCCAAGTTCCGGGTCAAAGAGAACAAGAAAGAGAAAGGAAGAAAGAAAACACATGGAAAAAGGATATGGGGGTAAATTGAGGATAGAAAAATAAAAATGAATCCATCGTTGTATGAACTTTTTAAATGACCGATAAAATACAAACCACTGTTGTACGTATTTAATCTTTGACACGCTCTTTCTTCTCTTAGAAACAAAAAAGAAAAGAAAAAAAAACGAAAAGAAACAAAAGAAGGAGAGAAAACAAATGAACCACGAGTCAGGCACGTTTCTAAATAATAACGAATCAACGTGCACAGTTCGACGAGTATTTTTCAATTATTTATCCTCGAATCTCAGATTTTATCTCCACTGTCTTTTGTTAAAAACAATAAAGAAAAGAAAAAGAAATGAAAAGAAACAAAAGAAGGATAGAAAACAAATGAACCACGAGTCAGACACGTTTCTAAATAATAACGAATCAACGTGCATAGTTCGACGAGTATTTTTCAATTATTTATCCTCGAATCTCAGATTTTATCTCCACTGTCTTTTGTTGAAAACAAAAAAGAAAAGAAAAGAAACAAAAGAAAGATAAAAAACAAATGAACCACGAGTCAGACACGTTTCTAAATAATTACGAATCAACGCTTAGTACGACGTATATTTAAATTAATTATTCTCGAATCACAGTTGTAGTTCCTCCCCCTTCTTTTTGGAAACAAAAAAAGGAGAAATAAAAAATGGACGACGAGTCGAACACGTTTCTAAATAATAACGAATCCAAGAAAACATGACGAGTCTTTGAAATTATTTATTCGCAAATCTATCAGCTGACCAATGAAATATTTTATTATAAATAAATGACATGAATATACAAACAAGATAATTTGATTATTTTTTTAAAATCGATCTCATACAAACGGATGTCAATGGATTAATATTTGTTTTATTTTTGTTATAAACGTAACGATGACATTCCAATTAGTTACAATCTCGTAGGGCAAAGGGAAAATTATATTCGAGAGAACTAAAATTAGGGAGAGAGGGGTAATTATTAGTACATATATGTGTGTACGTATAAGAACAATAAGGGTTAAGTCAAAAAATAGTTGGAAGAGTTGTAATCAATATCAGAAAACTACGATTAGTTTGAGTACGGAAACAAACAGGGACAAATTTCGTTTTCCTATTTTTTCTTCTTTTTTCTTTTTGTTTTTTTTTTTGTTGTTGTTGTTCTTTTAGACGCTTTTATCGATTATATAATCGATATTTCCGACAGGCAGAATGATACATTGACTTCGACGATTTAGCAGCGGCGTTGAATCCGATAGGAAACGGCAATATATCATTCCAATTTCAATTACAACATAACATTCGTCATAAACGCTTGTCCTTCTGTTTCTTTCTATCTTTCTATTTTCCTTTCTCTCTCTCTCTCTTTCTCTCTCTCTCTCTCTCTCTCTCTCTCTCATTATATTTTATATTATTAATTATTTAAAAGTAATGTTTTCTATCACATATTTTATATTAATTATAATAATAAATATTATTTTATTTTATATCATATATATATATACGTATTATTTGATAAATAAATCAATCTACAATGAGAACGGGTTCTATGATAAAGAAAGGGTGTGTGGGCTCATTTAGCCCTTTTATGGAATCCTTTAATAAATTCAAACAGAAACCTGTGCATCGAAACCACACTTGTTTTAATCCTTCAAAAAAATTGTATATATATAACTTATATTGTGTATAATTAATTTTATAATATAAATATTTATTATATAATAAAGTTAGGATAAAAAAAAATTTCGTTTAAACGATGCGTATTATCTAACAGGTTAAGGAAAAATTTCAACAACGTTAAATCGATAAGATGATCTAACGATAAGATGATAATCTCGCGTGTACATAACTAATTTTGTCCTAACATTACGAATATTGATTTTGATTTTATTTCATTATCTTTTCATACTAATCGATCGTGTTTCTTTTTTGTTACAGGGACTATTACTACGACAGGTGAGTGAGTGTGCTTCGTCGATTATCCTTCAAAAAAAAAAAAAAAAAGGGAAAAATGAATATACGTCATCTCTCGGGTACAGTATAAACAAATAAATTACATTTTAATCGTATTCCTTCGTAATC